CGACGATCTATGAAGATCCACTACCAGCTGGACTTGGAAGCACCGAGATATTTGGCATGGATACACTGCGTGGCAATCCTAAACCGAGAGCATCGCCAGCTAGACAGCGATATTTGGCATGGATACACTGCATGTCCTGCCTTCCAGCGAACCCTTGCAATCACAATGTTCCGACGGCTTCGGTATCCGGATATCGGTGGTGACCTTTTATAGACCCTTTAAATTTGACGTGGATCCAATCTATGCCGAATATCCCCGTGCATATTAACACTACAGAATTGTTGCAATAATTAATTTCAAGTAACAATTTATTTTATTAAAAAAAAAAAAAAAAATAAATATGAGGTTCACAAAAATGGACCGAATAGTTAAAACAAATTCGAGTATTTTAAGTTCTTACACAGTCATATACATACAATATTATAAAAGCTTATGCACATTATATTTTTATATGAAAGTTAAATCAAAAAAAGTACAATAATAATGTATGATGAACATTTTTATTTTAATAAATCTTCATCCGTTAACTAAATGAAAATAATAAAACATAAATATTTTTCACCAACAACAACAGTATAATAATAATCTTCGTCCCAACCCATCCGTGTCTTATAGCTTATATTTTAAGGAAACAAATTACCATTTACATTGCATTGCTGAGATCATTAGGATAAAAATAATAAAATGGAATTACAAATTGTTTAGTGTTCTAAATAGTTTCATGCATGACCTTGTTACTCGTTAGTGACTAATGTACGTGTACCTACATACCAAAAAAAATGTTTGAGTTTTCATCTATCGGACCTGATCCAAATCCATTTTCTAATTAATTATTATACCTAGTTCACAAACGTATATAATATCCACAGTTGTAAATTATTTCAAAAACTGTTGAGAACGTTTACTGCAAATTATTTTATAAAAATATATGTTAATAACTTCAATATTAAAGTCTTAAACACGGCAAACAAATAATATACCTCTTAATATTTTCTACAAAGCAAGTTTAGACCGTTCAATGATAATTTTCTTGAACAATACCTACTAATATTTTAATCGTTTGACCTTAATATGAAGTTTAAATGTTATTTCAAGTGACATATTATTTAATTTCAACACTATTTCGAGTGACATGTAGCTTCATCTTCGCCGTAGCCAAAAGTTCTCGAACAAGAAATCGTGACTCAACCCACAAATTATAGAAGATAAATGATAATACATAGCCGAATTGCACGAACTCAACATTTAACCAATCAATATTGAGCTAATGGCTAATTGAGCTAATGGCCCTTAACCATGGTATTTAGTGGCCCACGATTGGTCCATTAAGTTTTATTGAACTATTTAATTACCTAATACGTTAATTGCCATGCTACCCGGCATTAATAATAATGCACAACTATAAAAAAATAATATAAATACATCAGAAAATATGGATCTCGAGTTCAAGTTTAAGTACTAGAGATTTGCCTAGTGACTCTGCCACCGCTTCGGTTCTTCTCACTTTGTCTTTCGCGAGAAAACTAACCACGGTATCTACGGTCAAAAATATAAGTATAATCTATGGTGTGCCTACAACAGCGAAACACTAATTGTAAACGTATACAGAGCGTGTCTAGAACTTAAAATTAACACCTTAAATAATAGTGTTGGCATTAATATATAATATATATCATACTTTGTACCAGTAAGTAGGTATGTACGCTTTATGTACTCACATTACTTTATTGTCTGATACAATATACCTACAACAATAATGTTGAGTGTTTCACCGTGTTTGATCTCGTAAACATGAATATGTTAATTAACTACTCCTCGTCCAACCTCTTGCCAAATACCATTCATAAATCTATTCTAACTACCTTAGATTTTCGATGAGCGCAGATATAGACATTCATGTATTTTTTTCTAAGTTAAACCAAACAATAATGCAGATTAGGTATAATGAAAATTATAAACTGTTGTTCTCTGACGCGGTGATGAAATAATTTCAAATTTGTCTTTAAATAATATTTTTTAGAACAAAAATGTGACCAAAGACGGCGATGAAGCACGCTGTGCAAATGTGTATATTAGGAGAATGCTAAAGAATTGACGTTTTTTTGTGGAAATGAAGGAAATGGGTTAGTTGAATATAGGTACATCACATTTAATAGGTACAAACATTCTGTTAAAAATACAATTTTTAAATGTAAAACAAATTAAAAAACATACTTTGTACTACACCGATCATTTTGCTAATAGAATGAAAGTAATTTAATTGGAAATAAACTAGCTTATTGCACAATAATAACTGTGAAGTTATTAGGTACACTTACGTATTTAAGTAACTTAATTAGGTACTAAGTGAAATACATTTTACGAAAATTGAACAATAAAAAAAAAATTTAACCACGTCAGTACTATGATTAATGGTACTCCATTAAATATTGGTTCATCTTCTATCATAATATATATATATCTCGAAATATAAATTAACTACAAAAAGCAAAACATAGCAAAACAATATTGTACGTAATTTATAGTTGGTACCTACCTAATAAATTACGTATTTAGGATATAAATTTACAATAAGTATTATAATCTTATACTGTTTTATAAATGACGAAGAAATAACAAAACTTGAATTGGGAGATTTTCGATCATTAGATATAAAATATAAAATTATAGGTAGGTACCCTACTACCCTGCATTTAATGTCAAAAACACTTACGATATAACACAGAATTATAATTTTCAGTTTTCACCAATATTATTATTTGATGTTTATAGTTGATTTTTCAATTATATTTTATATATTATAATACCTACCTATATTAAAATCGATAATAATAATAATTAAGTAAAATGATCATAGTCGTGGTAATAAAATAATAATATCAACAAAAATAAATGAACATAATAATAATTGTTTTAATACAAATTATTTATTTAAACTGGTTGATTTTTTAATGTCACATTGTTCAGATATTCAATTCGACTTATTTCACCATGATTGTTTTTCTGCAATAGTTGTACAATTATGCTCTGGTGAGAGGTGTCTTTAATTTTGAGTTTAGAAGAGAATAGTTCATAAATAACTAATAAATAAGTTCCACTTTGTAATTTTAATAAGACATAAAATCCTACATTATCTAAATTGAGCAACATCAAATTGGTGTTTTAAGTGCCGATAATATGATTCGTCTGCATTTTGTTGTTCGTGTAATAATATCCTTATCAGAAATTTCAGCCAACATTTCTGAAAAACATATACTAAGACCAATATGTATTATGTATGTCTGTGACCACTGTGAGGCACTGACTAGAAAAATCTCTTAAATGTTTGTAATTAATTTTATAAAATTAATTTTTGGTATAGTTTACTCTAAGTATATACTAACAATATAATTGTATAGGTTTTAACTCAAAAACTCTAACGTTCTATCGTAATCAGATAATACATTTGTCAAGCAGGTATTTAGGATTTTGGAGATTTTTGGGATACGATTTATTTTATTTATATATTTATTTAGTTTTTGGCTCTTCTAGTTTTGATGCTTATGTTTTCTACTGACAATTTTAAACTCATTAAACGGCACATAAACATTTCCAAAGATACCACAGCAATTATTAAGCGTAGAAGAAAAGCGGCGTGGATATTGTGTCTCCAAATCGGTCCTTTACGACGCCTTACGAATTCGTCGATACCGACACAATAAATAGGATATTTTATTTATATTCTAGTAAAAAGTACCTAAGCAGCAGTATAAACCGCCGTGAATAAGTTTTTGGATAAATACCGGTGCCAGTGACTGTGTAAAATGAAATATAATAATATAATATGTAATATTAGACACGCCAAAGGCGCACTGTAATTGCCGACGGCGGCGGAGAAAACACTGCACCACAGTCGTATATAATACATATGAATATAATTTCGGATTCGTCAAAATTATGCTACTTTGTACAATACGGATCATGTTTATAATATACAGGACGATTCAAACGTCTTCATCCGATCACGGTTTTATATAGCTCAGCAACGGGTAAACTGTAGGTTGACGATCTATATTTTCAGATATTTGACGTATTATACCTATAAGTTATAACCCACAATCCTACAATTGAATTTAAAGAAAATTTTACTTAAAGTTCTAATCAGTTATCATGTATGTACTAATAAGGGGTCTTCCTCAAAGTCGAACAAAGCCAATATTACTGTAAATAAAAATGAAATCTAACAATTTAACAAATATTGTAACACTGCCAAGCTTGGTCGAAACAACAATTATTATTTACTATTGTATAAGGCCGAGGTAGTCGTGAAGTTTTTTTCTTCATTTTCGTTGTTGTTAAGGGGCAATTAGACAGATTTCCTATGAGTGTTTATAATGATCCAGAGTAACCTATACTGTCTACAGTAAGCATTGAAATGGACGAATAAAAAAAAATCCTAATTTTGAATATTGTACCCCTGTATATTGATGTGTGCCGGGTGTGGGATAATATTGACCAGATCATGATATTTCGTAATATTGTATAGTATATTGAAACCGGATTATTTTACAAGTACAGGTACGTCATTATTGTGCTCTACACACAATTAAAATAAAAAATTTAAAATTAATGGGATTTTTTTATAAACCAGACGGAGACTTGCGAATCACCCTGTATACATAAAACGGCGGCGTCGTCGTTAATTATATCGTGTCGTATATAATGCAATATAATGATATTATTATTTATAATTTTTATATCCCACTGCATCCCGGAAAACGCGTGCTCGGCGCTGCACGGTCAACGGCGTTTGGGGGCGACGCTCACGGCCCGGAACGCGCATAAAAGCGCCTTGCTGGCGGTCCGTCGGCACCACTGCTGAAACGCGTGTACGAAGTCGTCCGCTCCCGATTTGTGTACGAATCCGACAGGTGTCTGCAGTCTTGTTCTTCGTCGTAGTCGTGCCAAAAGTCGATTTATTTGTATTATATTATATATTTTGATAACACGTCGCTATCACGATGACGTCGAATCAACTGGTCGTCGCCGCCGTGCTGTGGTGGTCGTGTGCCTCCGCCGCCACCACCGACGTCTTTCCCGGTGGCCAAGTCGCGTCTGCAGCCAACACCGCCGAAGGACTGTCCAGCCTGGCCGACATTTCACGGATAATCGAAGCTCAAGGGTTGCTGCTGTCGTCCGGCAAGCCGTTCGACTTGTTGGAAGCTTGGATGACCGGTGACGACGGTGGAGATCCGGCCGAAGGTGAGACACGATCTGCAGACACACGTCTGGTTAGATAATACAACTAATAGGTAGGTAGTTAATAAAACTTAACTGAAAATATTACCTATACTTATCGTACAAGGCGTCCGACTATATCGGTTCGATGGGAAACGTTTTTACGTTTAAGCAGTGCAGAAGCGAATTTTTCAGATAGTTTCACCGTGAAAATCCATATAATTTATAATTATAATATATTTATACCATTTTTATTACTCTCGACTTCAAAATATCTACATATTTTTTTTTATATTTAGCAAAATACTTTTACAATAAAATTTATCTGGAGGAATTTATTATATACTTATAACACACAATCGTTGTTCAGAAAAACCACTATACAAAATTGAATTTACCGTGATAATATTATGTTGTCTTGTACTCTTGTGAATAGAGTAAGTATAACTTTGTTTTAACTTTTTAAACTAAACACGTGTTTTTAGTAGCTTAATCAAAAAATTATTTTTACGACACAAATTAGCAAGCTATTCCTATTCTCTCATCCGACGGGATGGAAAAATAATTTTCTTTAGGATAAATATGTATTTATTTCCTATGAATAATTATTACTACATTTTCTTATCGGCAATATTGTTATTGTTTCGACAAAATTTTTACCTAATATACATTTTTGAAGTGTATTTTTTAAACGAATTTTATATTATTAATATTATTTTGGAGAGACTGTACTCATTTAAAAGATATAAAAATATTCTTGAGATCTGTGGAAATAATAAACAGTGCCATATTGGTTATAGGTTATAGATTGTCATATAATCTCACTTATCACAACAAAAAAATTTGATTTTTAACAAATATAACTTTTTCATTTATATATTATTCAAAGTCTCCAAACTTTAGTAACTTTTACAAATCCATTTGTTGTGTTAATTTTGTGATCTCATATTTAAGTTCTAGTAAATAATATATTATATAATATGATTATGTTTATATTATTTATTATTTATTATTATGTAATAGTTACATAATAATTAATAACTATTTATACCAATGTTAGGTATATTATAGCATAAAAATAATGAACAAGGGGGATGAAATAACAAATGTTCAAAATTGTAAGTCAATAACAATTATATAATATAAATGTTAATTTCAAGTGCCTGTTGGAATTTTAAAATTAAGTAGGTACGTACGAGCTCTAAAATAAAAAAACATCATTCACATATTGTGTAATTACAATAATATATCTCGTAATTTTCAATCATTATGTTCTTCTTTTTATTGAAACGACCGCGACGGGTCCTCACGATACTCATCATTCGGGGGTGATAATTATGAGATAATTGGCCGAGGAATGTGGCATGGTAAACGGTAATTTTGTACATTGTTTAAAATGCATAACGCCGACACTATTGTTGTACAGTCGGGTAAAACTTTAGATTTCAGAAAGCGGACACATCGTACTATTATATACATTGTTACACAGAGTATATATTTAATATAAAAGGTCTGAAGTCATGACCAGACCATGTTATTAAGTTTAAATATTAATTGTTAAATCTTAAATCATACAAAAAATCTATCATATAGTCCAAATAGGAGGGAATCGTGGGTTGTTAGTTATTACCTATTGAAAATAATTTTTTTGTGTAATTTTGACATATTTATATTGTACAACATTTTTAATTTACTTCTTGACATAATTTTTGATAATAACATAATACGATATTATTGTAATTTATAATCATATTGGATGATTTAATTACTTTGATGATTCCAAGATTTTTAAGTTATCAAGTTCCTAAATTAATTTATAAATATTTTATAGCACTAAGTAATATTTGGCTGTTATCTAACCAGTTAATTAAAAAAACAGATTATTTTGGCTATTGTTAATATAGGTATACCTACTGTATATTTTAAACCATTTTTAATTGACATTTTATTTTTAATTTTTACATTTTAATGATTGACATTATAATATATACTTACTACTTAGGTATATAACTTTTATTTACAATATAATATGCTTTATTTATGTACAAGTACAATAAGTGTCTGAAATTAACATTTTTACCCGACCGTACAAAATGTTCGCATTCTGCAATGTACCTTTTTACCAGACCTTATAATGTGTCTGTGTTTCGCATTTTAATGCTCGACCGATGACCTTACAAAGAAACTTAGAACGAAGTCGAATACATAACTGAGGCGAACCCCGTGGGCTACTGACAAGAACCTTAAAATTCAATTTAGCAAGGATAGGGAGTCAATGAACCAGAAATTAGTAATAAAGAAGGAAACCAAGTTTGTGGGATTTATATCATAATAATATATCGTATAGGTAGTATTAGTGCACTAGTGAGTAAGTAGATTTAGATTCTGATCAAGGAATTATAATTTAGTTGGCTATTTTATTTGCAATGTTGTGTTATTGTTTTGAAAAACACTTTTTAAGGTGATAAAAATGCTTCTTAAGTGTCTCGTTGGAAAGTGAATGCGTCATAATATAGTAGGTACTTAACGAAAGAGGTCATTGTTTTGAAAATTCTCAGCGTTGGTCGAGAAAGTGCTAAAAATACAGAAAATGAGTGAAATGTTAGCTTACTTAGTATACTAACTAAGAATATATAGTTACTATATTCATCCCATAATTTTTTTTATGCGTTGGAAATAAGTGTATTAGTTTGCTGATAATATCACTATAAAATTCTAAAATGTCTATTTGGATTGATCGTGTCGTTATAATTAATTTTGTACACCGCACTCGGTTGTTCAATCGTGAAAAAAACCTAGATATAATTAATTTTATGAAACAAACAAAATGGTTCAATTTATTTAAAATTCAGTTTATATAAAAAAAACATGTGTAACCCAATATTATAACTTATCTTTGTGTTTAATCACGTTAATTCATAACTTTCTTGTAACTAACAGCCTTTGTACTCGAGGTCAATATTTTTTAGAGCTCAATAAAAAAATTATTTTATATAATCGTCTTTAATACTTTTAAGATTACCGAAATATCAGAATAGATAAATTTACTGTATACAGATATAAATATAAATATTGTAATATAAAATAACTTATAGCGAACTTCAATCAAAAGTCAAATTTTTTTTAATGTAAAACAATAAACAAACTTTTTCATAGGCAGTAAAAATAACAATGCAACACTGGGTTATGCTTACTGATGGGAGCGAAGAGTAACGAGTGGAACGTACAAATTAATTGAATTTTGTTCATATTTTTTTTAATTATAGATATACTTACATATTATGTTACACGTGTAATTTCTTTCATGATTATATTAACATATATGTTATTATAATAACATTGCCTATGAGTATACTAGCTTTTTGTAATTAATATTATGAGGTGAAATTAAAACGTTTCTATAAATGCAGGTCGGAAGAAGTTTAATAAAAACAGTGCTGTTAGTAACCTTAGTACTTTATTTTTTATTTTATTTAATTTATGCGATTTGTTCTAAAAAAATTAATTAAATAGGTAACACAATAATTCTACATTTAATTTAGGTCACGTATCACCTAATTTCATTCGTCTCGAAAACATACTTAAATATACATATTTTTAACAAATTGTTTTAACGTTTTTTTTAATATTGTTATATTATTTTATTATTAACCTCAAACTTAAAGCTGTTACCGTCAACAACCATCTTATTATTGATTTCATATATCCTATATCCCTTAAAACGGCATAAATCTGTTCAATTCTCGACTACAATTTTTATTGAATATAGAAATAGAAATAGATAAGCATGCATATTTTCATGTTAATTTATGTTAAATTTTAATTAAAATATTGATATCTTGACATTTTCAAATAACATCTTAATACCATATTTTTATTAATTAAAGACGTCTAAAGAATGTCCTGTGGCTACACAAACTTTTTTTGAAATAAAATTATTTTTCATGAACATTTAAATTTTTAGTGTCTTTAAATAAAAGCGGTTTCCTAGTGGGTTATTTTATTTTATTTATATAAATTACAATATTATAATAAAATATTCAATACTCTACAGTTATCCTAATTATCCATAGAAAATAAAAGATAAAACTCTAAAGCAACTAGTTTGAAAAAAAAAAATCGTCTGCTGAACAATTTACTTAAAGAAGCTAGGAACTCGTTAAAAAAAAAAACTTACAACAAAAGTATTGAGTTGTGAATTTACCACTTGATTCGTTCGTTTTGTGCGCAGGTCGGGGGAAAAAACCCAAACCAGCGATGATGGCCATGACGATGGCCGGTGCGGCGGCCGCCAGCATGCTGATGATGAAGGCCATGGCCGCGATCAAGCTATTCATCATACACGCGTTTTTCGCCACAAAGCTGGGTCTGGTGGTCGGCGCCTACCTGTTGGCGAGCAAGCTGATGGAAATGAAACAGTCGCCGGCCAAGAAGTCGGTGCAGGTCAAGTGGGTGTCGGCGCCCGCGCACTTTGACGAACATCCCCCGCCCATGATGTCCCACTACCCTGACGCCGGCCAGTCGTCTTACGAACCTCAACAGGAGCAGCAGCAACAGCAACATCAACCCGCCGACCAGTACGGACCACCGCCGCAACAGCAACAGTACATGTCGTCCGGAGACTTCAACGGCGGCGGTGACATGCAGGCGCACTATTCGTTCGTGAGTCCGGTCACGTACAGGCCGACCATGGTCAACCGCAATCAGTCGGACAACATAGCCAAGTCCGGCAGAGTGAAGTCATAAGACGAAACGGATGCCAACGACGATGATATATAATTATTATAATTTATTGCTGGTTCGTAACAGGACCAATTTTGTTTTTTTTTTTAAGAAAAATATCCTGTACTCACCCTGTATTACAACGCGTGCTGTATCCCACTTCACCCAAGTACCTCAAACCCAATTAGTTAATTAACTGAAATCCATGACTCTCAGAAAATCCCGTATCAACACACACACGCTTCTTTTTTTTATCTTCCCGACTCTGTTTATAGTCAAACCGAATTTGCAACGGTAATAAAGTAGGTAGTGAATCGTCCACGGTGATCCAAGTGTAGAGTGAGATGTATAATGTATATAGGTACAATTTTATAATTTTTTTTCGCAAGACGAATTTTTCAATTATTATCCATACAGATAATAATATATTATAGAACATATTGTATTTTTATTTATTTATTTACCTATTTATTTATTTAATAAGTTATTTATTTATTTATTAACATTTTAATATTCGGACGTTTCGACTCCGTTTTGCTCAAAAAAAAAAAAATGTAAAAAAACTCATAATAAATTGGCGTTTTGTCAAATTGTCTTAATTTTATTACAACTTTAAGATATTGATAGGTACATGTTTTTTGCGTTCCATTATTACATACGCTATACGTACATTGGTAGGTAATGATTTATTTTGTGAATTAGTACATTCATGTATTTTCTATAAATATTGTACGTGTCTAGTGTTCCATTGTATTACTATAATATGCTATTAAGGTATACATAGTTACACAACAGACTATGGTAAGCTATTAAATTCAATAATATTGTGTGAATGGAAAATTACTAAATTACTTAGTATAAACATATTATTATAATGCTAAATAATAATATTAATTATTATATTATGGTTAAAAAAACAGTATTAAACCTATACATAACATACGGTTTAGTTCACGAGCCATTGACTTTGTTTTAAGACCGGGGTAGACTTTAACAAAAATAAGATATAATTATAATAGCTATAAATTAATAAATAATGAAACCTCTAGTTATTATCATAAAAATTACTTTAATCGTCTACACCAGGGGTCTCCAAACTTTTTTATTCAAGGGCCACAAAAAAAAAATCAAATGCTCTTAGCGGGCCAAAAGTTTATTAACACATAATTTTTAATTTTATGATAATGTATTAGGTACCTACCTATATAAATAATATGTTTACTTTATATTTTTGTATAAAATATTGTTTACTTTACAGTATACTTAAATAAAAATAAATAGGTATAAATATAATATTATATAAATACATTTTTGAAATAATTTTTTTATCGATATTTACCTATGCGTCCTATGCGGGCCACGGGCCGGTTAAAACTTATTCGCGGGCCATATGCGGCCCGCGGGCCGTAGTTTGGAGACCCCTGGTCTACACTGCTGCGAACCACTAATGTTGGATTTGCAACCTATATAATATATATCTATAATATAGTGTGGTAGATAGTATATTAATATATCATCGATCGCTGGTAAATGACATATTATAATAAATAGGTACTGCACATTTAAAAACATTTTTCAATACATAATATTATATTGGATATCAAAAACTATCTAACAATTAACACAATAAATATAATATAAATAATAAATAATAAATAACTTGATTTTCTTGTGTGTTTTTTTTTCAAATAAATTAACGGACGTTCAGATAATATATTGAACGCCGGAAGTGAGGATGAGCAGGACGTGCTGACTAAACGTACGAACAGGCATAGATACTGCAGTAGAGTACAAGACTTGAGCTCATCGTGTGATGTCTTATGCAGTTACTTATATACCTATATGTGTAGAAAACAAAAAAAAAAAAGAATTAAAAAAAGAATTAGGTATTATGATGTACATGGTTTAGGCTCTATTAAACACGTGTCCGAGTATAGACCGGAACGCCGTCTGTTATCTTAATTTTTGTCTGTAGTTGATGAACTTAAAAACTATTCCAGATGACATGTGCGAAAAAATTATGCTGTTCTTGTTTTACTTCTTGTAAACGTTTGAATTTAATTAACTCTACATTTGACAAATTTTACCATAACATTTTGACGTTAAAAACGATTTAACAAACATTTGCAAAGTCATAATATTGTGAATAGGTGATTATATGAAGTAACGAATACCTACGCTATTTTTATCATCATAGAATTTGTTATAATTTTTATAATATTGTTGTTGCACGAGGTTTTAACAGAAAAACATGAATGTTTATAGAAATATTTAAACAACGCAATGTTTGTCGGTTAACCGTATAGTAATAATATGTTTTAATAAAAATGTTTTTCTTCGAGTGAATGTGCAATTGGTATATCGAGTTACCAGTTACCACCCATTATAAATTATAATTATATAGTGTACTAGTTAAACACAGAAAACTATTGTCTACTTTAAAAGGAGACAAATAAAATATGTACATAATTAACTTGAGTTTGTTAAGTCAAAATATAAGAACGATAAGTTATGAACCGATAGTTATTATATAAATAATAAATTTACCTGTTCAACTTTAAAGTATATATTAAGTTTAAAAAAAAACTGATCATCATAATATAATATACATATATAAACCTTTAATGAAAACATTTGCGTGTTTATTTTATACTGCTTCTATTTAATTCTGTTAGTTATCAATTTGTCATTATTTCACTGTTGTAAATTAATTATTTCGTTGTTTTTTAGAACATTTTTTTTTCTCTTTTTCCTGACTCCTAGTGAGTAATGAGCGATAAATTTCATCATCATTAATAATATAACAACAAAAATCAAATCATTGATATTCTATTTATATGATATAAAATCAATTTTTAGTTTTAACCTTAAGGATAGTTGTTCAAATCAAACGGAAACCGTAAAGAGTCGAGTCATAACAACGGTCACTCAACCTAGCGAAGATAGTCATCAAGTCAATTATTAAATTAACTAATTAGTAAAGAAAACAGCTTGAACAAAAGTTAACTGATCCATCGTTTAGTCAAGAACTTACCCAATAATTACGAAGTCGTCGTGTCTACTGGCCCTGTCCGGAGTAGGCCATGTTGTGAGCTGCCTCCGACGACGAACGACCCCATCCGGCCGAGCTGTAGGAGTCACTTCCGTGGGACTCGTGGTGTGGGTGAGCTACCACCTCGTACGTGACGTGTTTCTGTTGGCTGAATAACTTTTTCAGTCCGATGACGGTGGCCAACAGGAAGGCGAGCTTGCTGACGAACAAAGCTTTTCCTACGAGCAGGGCGAGGACCTTGAAGGCAATGACCTTGAGCATTCCCATTTTCATCATCATGGCCGCCATCATGGGTCCCATGTTCTTGTTCTTACCCCGTCCTGAAACCGTGACAAAAAAAACAGGGTCACGGTAATGGTCGAATAAAAATCATATGCTTATAATAAAATTGTGAATTAAAAACCAAAAAAAATCGTTTGAAAAAATAATCGAAATGTATTGTAAGTATCACTGCACACATTTTCACTTATTATACTTTAATGATATGCCTATAATTACATTTAATACGCTAGAATCCAGTGATTATATCAGACTTGGATCTTCCCCAAGAAAATGTCTGTGATGATCGTGGTGATAACAGTCAGCTATATTATATGTTCCTACTCCAATACTTGTATATGCCTATGGTCGACCTATGGTGCGGGGTACGACTTTACACTGTTATTGTTATTATTAAACTACTTCTGCAGCAGTTAATAATTACTGTACACGCGTATGTAATATGTCTCGTCTGCAGCTGCGACGCTCCGAATTCACAAAAATAATAATAATATAATGTTTCACGCTGGTTGCCTGGTAACCTATACCCAGCTGCTATATGTTTCACGTTGGTCACCGACCGGATTTTTCCCGTCAGCTAAGGAAACATTCCCAGAGCCGTACGGACCTGCCTCCATAACGATATTATACTGCACATTATCCTATATTGTCTACGTACACACATTTATATAGGTAGGTAACTATAAGTAGGTACAGGTACTTATATACTTTTCCGAACGGCAGCCGCCGCCGCCGCCGTGGTAGTCGTTCGCTTCGTCCTACCGCCCACCCGCCGGTAATCGTTTCCATTGTTGTCAACTCTCGGACGAAAATTAAACGTTAATAATTCGAAAAGAAAAGTGCATTGTGTCTAACCTAGTTGTATTGTTGCTCGCGAACGTACGTATGAGTGTGAATTCCCGTGTGCATGTGGGGTTATGCTTGCTTGTGTGTGTGTGTGTGTGTGTGTGTGTGTGATGATGATAATTGACGATAGAGAATCGATGCGAAAACTATGTGTCAAATCGTTAGTTCCCGTCACGTAGGTATACCGTCGTGCTGCGGGAGAGAATTTCAAATGATAATAATATAATATTATTATTATTGTTATGTGGTTGACGACGCGACGTGTGTACAACTGTGCACGCGATGATGGTGTGGGAACGTATCGTAGGTATATTATATTTAATCAACTCGCGTATAGATGGAAAAATATCGAACGGACCTATGTCGAATTCGATCCGCGGCGAGGTGTACATAACGCGAAAACGACTTTCTGAACGGTCGTAAAATCTGTCTCGGAAAAACACACAATAATAATATTATACCTACGTACGTATACCGCGATTGACGTTTTCGTCGGGTGCCTTATTATTAATGCCTCTTGCCGGACGAAAGTAAAAACATTTCGATTGAAATATTTCGGAAATGGTTTTACACGCTCCGACGAGTCAAGAAATTATTGTATCAAATGGCGCGCGAAAGTACTTAATCGGTCGTTATAATAACCATATGCGATCGTTTGCGAGGCATTTCAGAATTATTAGAACAATTATTATTAGTCTTAGCTTTTAGTCTTCCATGTCGCGCCGCCGTCGTCGTCGATAAACATGATGGAAAAACAAATTATATATTACAAAAGAAAAACAATAATTTGACGTTGCTATTTTTTTTTATAAATCCTGCAAATATGATAAGCCTGATGTCCAACCAAGACGCCGGTGTTTCCTCGATCGGAAACCGAGAAAGTAAAATTGAATATTAGCTGATAATTATTATATTGTATGGCTTTTAAATACCCCTTTTGACTGATAACGGTAATTGCCGGACAAAACAATACAGCTGGTAACGAACATGGCAATTAATACAAAATCGACTGGAACGTAAATGTTATATTAATATAATATGGATAATATGATTTAGGCCAATTAATACAGACGACGAGTCTTGAAATTGTTCACGTGTAACGCACTATACGTATTATATAGTACTTATATTATTATAGGTATACTTTCCTAATTGAAAACAAATTGTTAGCATATACGCATTGCATATTTCAGACGATGTTTAAATGTATAACATTATAGTTGTCAATTAGTTGAAACCATGTATTATAGTTTGTATATGTTAAATCATTAGGTATAGGAAGTGAAAGTAATATTTTAGTAAAACTAAAATTATTATAATTATTATTAATAATAATGGTGACGGATCTCTACAAAACTATTAAGATCGTATATGGGTACTCTTCAAAGGTAATCGTCGTTTGAAGAATCACTTGTTTGAGCAAACGCAGGCAATCAAGTTTTGAATTTACAGCCATGTACAAATCAAACACGCGTTTTGGTAGTCACAAAGAGAATATAGAAGTATGGAAATAAATGTTTACGCACTTTTTTCCAATCATAAGTAGGTATTAAATTACTATTACAGTCGATCCCCGATAACTCGAATCTCAAGAGAAATAAAAATAAATTTAACTTAATATTTATTTTTTGAGTTATAATACACCTCAACACAACTTAGAAACGCACTTCAAGGGGCAAGAAAAAAATTCGAGTTATTGAGGTTCGTGTTGGAGACTTAACTGTATTATTATATTATTTTATATGTTGAAGTTTAAATATTTTATTTAAAATGATTTTGAATATGAAATATGCGCTACGATTAATAACAGTTATTCATTGATCAGGAATATCTTAAATGTTGTAGTTTAAATATCTTATAAAAAATGGTTACAATAACTATACAAAATTCTTATAATTTTATTGTTTTCATTCTCCTTTAACCTCAAGTTACCGATATGTACAGGGTGGGGCACTGAAACGGCCGATTTTTAAAATAGATTTTCTGAGTAGTAATTAAGAAAAGAATTCTCAATAATATTATTAATAGTTCTAAGACAACATGCCATTTAGTAAACATGGAACAGTGGAGTGGTAAACAACGTGCTTATGCGATAAAATTGTTTTACAAAAAGACAGTTACGTAGACGCACATCGTGCATTCGTCTTCATTTTAATCTTAAACGCCATGATTCGGTACCATCGGCTAGGCTATTCAAATATGGATAACCAACTTTGAAGAAACGGGTTCAGCATTAAAAAAGAAGCCTGTACGACAAAAAACCATTCGCACACCTGAAAACGTCACTGCTGTCAGAGCCGTGTAGTGGAAAATATACGAAATAGGCTAGAAGAGTGTTTGAGAAGAGATGGCCATCAACTTGAAGACATCATTTTTAAAAAATAAATGGCAAGTTATGTACTTCATTATAATAAATAATAATACATTTTTATTTCGTTTTTTATTTAATAATTTGTCTTAGAAAATCGGCCGTTATAGTGCCCCACCCTGTATAATAGTGCAAATTTGTTTTTTTGAATGAACAATTTGTATAAGTAGGTACATATATTTAAAACATTAAGAGTTGCCTAGGTTAATAGGTATGAATATAAAATAATATAATATTGTCATAATAATATATTATATTATGGAACTAATGAACATTATCAATTATTATGTTGTTATTCGTTAAAAAAAAAACCATTTAAAAATAACTGTATCAATTAAAACCGCAATTACAAAAATATATAGGTATTTTAGAAGTTGGCAATATTAGTCCCAATATTCTTGCACTCGGTAGAACGGCATCAATAAATTTTAATCAACACTTGTTCCATGTTTTCTTGCATATTCCTTATTGCGTATACCCTCAGCTCATGCAACATTATTTATATGCTGTCCACCAAAAATTAAAACAATAATATTTCTCAACTTATATACTTATAAAAAAATACTTTATCCGAGTTTCCTAATCATAATACCTACCTACTAAAAAGCACAGTTGCAGCTTGTCATTGTAGGGTACTAACTGCAGTCAATGATAATTATATCTAGTGGTAGTAGGAATAAAATTCGAAACAGAGAACATGTGAAACAAATAAATACCACGATAGGATAGTTTCCATAATATTATAATATAATACACCTAATCTAACCTAACTTAATTAATATCCGACTCTACTCTTATTGTAAAAACTCTTAATATGAGTGTTATTGTTTACATCTTTTTTTGCTTTTTATAAAAACTTATTGACTTTGTTATTTTATTATACTTCCTAATAATTAGTTATAGGTACAAATATAGGACATAATCACTATAATCTGTGTGTTTTTAAAAAACAATATCTAAAACTTATTTATATATTTCGATGGCCAAGAAAATAAACATTTAATACGTAGAACACGTACTAAATATTTCTAATATATTTATGGTATGCAACATTACACTAAAGAATGCCAACCCACCTGTAGCCTCAACCCTTATAGGTAGATAGCTAAAATTAATCAGATTTTTTGCCATAACGTACTGTTGTACTGTCGCGAAACAAAAATAACTGATAACGTCAATAATTATAATATAATAAATTGAATATCATATGCTCACCGGACTCGTTCAAGTCTTTGCCGGACCTGAACGACATGCCGAAGTTAAGAGAGCCGTCTTGCTCTGGGGACGCGGACACGACGAAGTCGGCCTCGGGAAGGACTTTGATCTTGAGGGCCCGAGATTGGACGTACCTCCACAACTTGTCGGCCATCACCTCGCCGAACGCCGACTCGTCGGTGTACCCCCTGGCCGAGCCGTCCACGCGGACCGAACTCTCGCCGGCGGTGGCCGTGTCCTCGGCCGGTCCGTCCTTCTTGGCGATCTCCATCATGTCGCTGATCTCCAGGCTGTTCTTCTTCATCAGCTTGTTCATGTACGTGACCAGCTTGAGCATTACGCAGCTGGACACGTCCCGGGCGCCGCACTTGGCGTTCAACTTGCGCATCAGCTCTTCCTCGCGTATCACGTACGACGGCTTGGCGTGTTGTGGTTGGTGGTGCGGCTGCGGCTGGAGGTTCACGTCGTTGTCGCCGTCGTGTTGGTCACGCTGCGGCGGAGGCTGCTGCTGAGCCGCGGACGACGACATTGGCGAACCGGCCACCGACGCGACCACGGCCACCAGGGCGAACACAGCGGCGAACTTTGCGGCAGACATCTTGAGCGAGTGCGGCGGATTAAACGGCGACGAGCGGAATGAAATCGAAAAATAAAAGTTTTCTTTTTCCGGTTTATCGATATCGCGGCGCCACTCGAACGATCCACGATGTAATGTGCACCTAACGTTGTAAGCGTTTGCGGCGGGTGACGGCGGACGGACGACTCGGACTACCGGAAAACTGGACGCGAATCGAGCAAATAATGAACCTATCGGCCGGCCAGGACCCCCTTATATGCCATTTCACGAGCGGCAACGCAACCGGTCTTTCACTCGCCGCCGCCGCTGCCGATTCCCTTTCTTCCGGCCCATCTTTGTTCTCACCAAAAGTAAAACGAGCTACAATAAACGTCCTAGAGCATATTATTACGACTATAATTTAATTGCGACTTAGAGCCCAGAGTTTGCGAATCTTTTTCGGGTCACGTGCCAGCGTTTGGAGATCAAAGTTTTAGAAAAATGTGTAATATCAAATATAGGATGTCCGTGACGGCGTGACCTATGAACATATTTAATTAGTACTAGGGTCGATCTGGTTCTTTGAAGAAAAACGAAAACATTTTTTTATGATCTGGTTAGGGGTGACGAGTTAGTTTTAAACGAGTTGAACACAATAAGCAGCATTATTATTGCTTCAGCGTATATAGGTATTAATTATTATGCTCTGTTTGATTCATCCGAGGATTCACTTGTCGAAAACTCTACGCTGATGACGTGATATTGAGAAAATAATTTAATTTTTAAATTTTATATAAGATCAAATTGCCAATATGCACACTGTTTGCGTATAAGTTAAACAATTTGATTAATATTTACCCCCAAAATCTATTAATTGTAGTTGAACATATTTCAGTTAGAAATAAATACATTTAAGTGCAAATAAAACATTTTCTAAATTCTGTAAAAACCATACAATTAATAGAATTTACCATAACATAATAAATAATATTGTACTTTACAATATTAATATTGTAAATAATCTAATAAATACTTTATTCTTATGTTCGAAGATAATGAGTTATACATATAACTGAACCCCGCAGGTGGTAAACAAATATTTGGAATGAGTAATATTTTCTAACCGCAAAATATCATGTCGAGAATTTATGAGTTCCAATTTTTTTATAATTATTGCCTATTGGTAACTTTATGGTCAAGAAATAATTAAAAATATTTTCTACAATTTTTTTTTTTGTTTCGTTTCCATTAAAATGCAATACCAAACAAGAAAAAATTTTCACATGTTAAAATTTGGCCAACGCTTCACCTTCACTTTGCCTCCCCTACACTATAATACATAAGTAGGTACAAAATCAGTTTTTTCAGCTATACTACATCTTGTTATTGGTGGCACCCACGGATATTATAAGTTAATAAGGTATAACTTACTATATTGTACTTAACAGTGGAATATCGAAATTATTTATTTTTATTTTCAAAGGTAATAAATTATACATAACTGGACCCAGTTTGTAATCAAATATTTGGAATGAGTAATTTTTTCACATCGCCAAATACTGCAAATGTTGAGTTCCAAATTTTCCAAATTTTATTATTTGATAACTTTTTATTGTCAAGAAATAATTAAAAATGTTTTCCACAATTGTTTTTCATTACAATGTATGATTGAACAATGATAATCAAAATCGTCAAAATTTGGCCAACTCGTCACCTTTGGCACGCACGTGCCATAATAGGCTTTCCACCCTTGCACTATACATAGATAGGTTGGTGTATCATCATAATCAGATTTTCGTAGCTTCAGTACTACATATATCCGGCACGTGACCTTGTTATCGGCGGCACCCGCGGTTATTATAATCGTTTGCCATATTATTATTATCATCATCGCACGCCGCTTCGGTCACGTTGAAACCGTCGCATTCCGATATTATTCCATTATATTATTATAAACGATAATTTCATATTACTTATTGGATACCTACTATAATATATAGGATACACGTGCAGCAGCAGAGAACATATTATAGTATAAATACGCGTAGGTAACTGCTCACGTCGAGCCAGTTAAGAGACGATTCCCGAGCACTCCGGAGTTGTATATAATAATCGTAATCGATGATGACGATGGCAGTCATCCGGACGGTTAAAAAATAATTCCGACCGTTAAAATAAATAATTATCATCGTCAGTTGCGTTCAAATCTCCGACGAGACGCCTCGAGTTCTGTATAATGGCGGAGGCGACGGAGAAGAAATACTTTTCCGTTCGAAATCGCCTAATCAAACATACGCACACGAATGAGAAACGAAAGAAAATCAATTATTTTCGTGCAGCTAAATTACATGGGATAGTTGGCGAGAATTCGTTCAATTAAAAACACTCGTTATTTATAATATGTATATAATATAATACCTATAGGCGAACTCAAAATGTACACTAGACTCGGTAAGCGTCGACGGATGATGCTGTGCAATCGATCATTTCATCTGTATACAAACACAACGAAAAACATTTTGATCCGTCACATCAATGGCCTGGATACCGAAAGTTGAAAAATCTCTTCTTCTCAAAATAATTGTGTATTATGATGAGTTGTATTTTAAATATTGGAGAATTAGGTGCTTGTGAGTTGCGAGTCATATATGTAAATGTTGGTATATTTCCTAAGACACTACTGGCATTTTGGATCAGACACGCGCTGCCGGATTGTTGAAAATGTAGTGTTGTACAATATTATGTTTATTATTTATGTGGACTTCTCTAGTTTTTGATTTTATGATTAGTTAGCTGCAGCGTTAAGGTTCTATACCAGAGATGACAAATCTGTGTCACTAATTGTGGGCCAATAAGGCACGCAAACAATTAAAATAATTATTATATTCAATAGTAAATAATAAGATCACAATTTTTTTCCTATTTATGTAAAGGTATATATTTCATATATTTTAATGGTACGAAGAAAAAAAAGTCATGTCATTTTTGGAGCGTAATGCTGGACAATTTTCCATCAATTTTATACACTTTTAAGTTCAATAATTATCGAGATAGGTATACTTAATATAATATTATGATCACTGAGGCACTGTCCAGTGATTAATATAATAAAACATTAACAAATACCTACTTACATATGATGCTCGAAAAATATTGTATCACACAAATAAGCTGTAACATTTAAATAATACCTAGTTGACAAATAATTTGACATACCTATAATAGTAATTTAATGTTATGCGTACGTATATTTTATATAATAATTTATTTAAATACTCAAATTTATGATTATGTAAAAATTGGCAAACTCAACATTGGCAACTAAAAGTTTAAGAAGTTTGATGTGGTTTATCATTTGATTTAAGTACCTTCGAAAACTAACACCGTGATGATATGAAAAACCTAAAAACGGCCAACGGGGTAGGTTGTCACAAATTATGACCTAATATTGGTGTTTGATTAGTTTTTTTTTTGTATTTTCTCAAGATGGTATTTTGAATAATGTGACATTAAAAAATAAATAATTGACTTTTACAAAAAAAACTAATTAGTAAAATCTATGACAACTATAGCCCCGGTCTCCATACAACCGGATTTGATAATTTAATATTTTAGATTATCGAAAACAACCATCTCGTCGAGATCACACGCATATAATATGCAATGTGCGTGGAAAAAAAAAATAGAAATACACGTTAATACCTGGGTACTTCATTTGTATGTATTTTATTTCGTTTCCACGATATTATATAGAATGCACTACGACGAGAGGAGTTTTTAAAAATTTTCTCAGATTTTGCATTTGCCGGCTGTGATCTACTTTTACATATTTTCATTTTTATGATCTTATAAAATCGTAAAAACACCGAAAACCGATTGCGTGTCTTATATCCGTAAGTCGAGGTAGCTATAGGTATATACTATACCTACGTATTGCGGTGTAGGTATATAATGATATTTTCTGTGCGTTTGACACACATTTCGATCAATTAGATACAATAATGGTATATTTTCTATATATAGGCACCTCTGCGATTTTATGCGTTCTCATCGGCACGGAGACATAATTTTCTATCCCAGCCCGCAGGTAATTTGCATAATTAATTTTCAAGTTTGCGATAGTATAATTATTACACACGGCGAGACATGCATAGATTTTAAAAATATGATATGTTTTTTTCGATCCATGTACATCATAAGCGATCTCGGCACTTTCGGTGCAGTGCAATCTTGTAAAAGGTACTTTTTAAAAGTATTCAAGTACAGATATGGATACTTATTTTAAAAAGCATTTAAAACACGTATTTTAAAAGTCGGTAAATATTGTTTTTGAGTACAAATGCAAGTGCATTAAAAAACATACTATTTATATATACATTCAATAATTTAAAAATGTTTATAAAATATTTGGTTTACCTCATATTAATCAATCGTTTTCGTGTTTTACTAAATTTTAAACTCGACTTCGTCAAAGTATTTGTATTTTTAGCTGAGTATAATTCACAGTAAAAAAATATTATATTACATGGAGACTGAAAAAGAAAATAACCTATATCGTAAATTAAAAAATATAAGTAGGTATATTCTAAAATTAATATTTCGAATTTAATTACAGATACTTTGAGAAACGGTTTTGTATTGGAGTACTTAAAAAGTATTTGAGTAATTTTACCCAACTACTTTAGAAAACCGGTGTACTTCAATAATATTATACGTGTATAATAGGTATATGAGAATGGTATTATAGACGTCTTGTAAGTAGGTACACAGATGATGCGATATGACGATGCTGTATATTACACGCTTTATTATATCCAAATCGAGGTTTGGACGTGGAAAACACATAATTATAGTGTTGTATGAACGAGAAGACGGATTATAGACTGGTCGCAGTGTCCGATAGTAACAAAATCATCAGGACTCGTAGAATGCGATCTTTTTTGCGCGAGACCGGATAACCACGATGTAGCTAAATTTGGTGTAGGTATATACCACATACTGTATTGTTATATTATTGTATATAGGTACCTCGACCACGGTCG